TACAAAATTACTGAAGTCAGTAAACTCATATGTAAGTTGATACAGGCTATGCAGATGCTCCTCCACCTATTATCTGAAATTATTGCAGTTAATTTGGTGTCTTCCTTATATTAGAAAAGAAGCTCATTCCAAACCTGCCTCCAAATGCAGCAATAATACTGGACAACGAATGCTACCTCAATGCCCAGAGTGACAAATAAGCACTATTAACCCTTTAAACACTTCCAGCTCCATATACAACAGTATATATGAAATATGCCAAGTGGGGTCACAAGAGCTGGAAATGTTGGAAATGATACTTAAGAGAAGAAAATGCTGACCACTAACAGATAATGCACTTCCTGTGTCTTAACACTCTCTAGACCATACAGTCTAGACTTGGCGGGTGCTGTGGTGATTTGTGAATTGTAAATCGCAGTGATTAGCGATGGTGCCATAATTTCTTGTAGTTCCGAGTCGTGTGTACAAATGGTCAATAAATTGAGTATCCAAACCAAAGCCCTGTCAAGAGTCACTTCATACTACGTGACAGTACAAAGGTAGGAACAAAAAGACATGTTATTTGATAGCGAGACAACACTTGTCCCAGCATGTACCCGCCTGCTTTAGCATTCCTACTCCACTCATAATCCAAGCTTTAAGTGAGTATCACATGCACACCAGTGCTATGAGTTTGCAAGTTTGCTAGTTCTGTTAGAATTATTTCCACCTCACAAGTTCTGGCATCTGTCATGTATTATCAACTGAGGAAAATTAAAAAAATATGAATCTGGTGTCGTCTACAGTGGTAAAATGTTAATATCATAATTCAAAATATATAGATAATGGCATAGACAGACAGATATGACCATCTCTATATGCATTATTTTCTTTCACACTGTGTGAAAGATGAGTAATAATATACCTTAATATGAATTCCCTATTACGAGGGTCATACTGAAAGTCATGAGCAACAATTTTTTGTAAAGTAACATACTTTATTATTGACAAACCAAATACACCACCTCAATCTAGACCTTTCTTTATTTTTCCACATAATCGCCACTTCTTTGTACATATTTCTCCCAGCATTCTGGGAGTTTGAAAATTCCCCTTCTGTAAAATTCCATTCCAGCCATCTGAAGACACTGATGCACTGCTTTCTGAATTGCCTCTCGTCTCAAAACGTTGTCCATACAGCTGATCCTTCACAAATTCGAAAAGATGGTAGTCGGAGGGTGCCAGATCAGGGCTATAGGAGGAGTGTGGAAGAACTTCCCACCCTGTCTTTGCAATTGCTTCCAACGTGAAGCGAGCAGCGTGGGGGCAAGCACTGTCATGCAGGATGATGATGTTTCGTCCCAGACATCTATTGCACAATGCACAACGGAGCTTGTGCAGCGTCTGGACATAATGAGCAGCATTGATGGTTTGCCCATGTTCCAGGAATTCAGCCAGAATAAACCCCTCTGCATCCCAGAAGACTGTACCCATCACCTTTACAGCTGATGGCACCATCTTTGCCTTCTTTTTTGATGGAGAATGCAAATGGTGCCATTCCACACTCTGCCGTTTCATTTCAGGCTCGAAATGGTGAAACCAGCTTTTGTCACCTGTCACAATACAGAGCAAAAAATCATTGCCTTCATGTTGATATCTCTGCAGTAGTTCTGAGGTGATGCCTTTTCGCTGACCTTTGTGGTCTTTGGTCAATAACCGCAGGACCCAACGAGCACAAACTTTCCTATAGCCCAAGCTTTCAATCATCTCCTGTACTGCGCTGTGCCCTATTCCAAGTTTTCGGGCTATTGTGTCCACAGTCACACACCTGTCATCTTCAATGATCTCATCCACTCTCTCCTTGTTGCGTTCAGTTGAGGCTGTTCAAGGACGACCTCTCCAAGGTTCATCTTCGATGCTGGTGTTTCCATCTTTAAAATGTTTCACTCATCTTTGAACACTGCTCACGCCCATGCACACACTTCCTTAAGCACACTGAAGTCTCTGGTGAATTTCTGCAGCAGGGATTTCCTCTTTCACAAGAAATTCAATGACAGTATGCTGAGGAAATATATCGTCGGCCATTTTGTTTGGAGTGAAACTGGTCACGTGATGTCACAAGACACTCAAAGTTAACACAACAGCTGGTTCCACCTACCACCGTACTCTCTTTCGTCTGCTGTTCCCAGGTTGCATGCAAAAAAAAGTTGCTCATGACTTTCAGTGCGACCTACGTATGTTGCAATTTCCATATAGATTGCATTAAATGGAGGAATTGTTTTGGAAGAGACTGTGGACCTGTCATCTTGACAGATTACTGATGATGATGATGATGATGATACTGACATAAAAAATTACAAAACATTAAACAAGTGTTTCATCAAATAATATTAATATATACTAACCTCATGCTGTCATCATTATAAGCCATTATATCTAGTTCATCCTTGACTTCATCTGAAATTTCATATGCTCTCCCAGCAACAGGATAAGAGAACATATTTTTGTCATCTTTTGTACCTTTTTCCTTCCTTACATCCAAAGTTTTAGAGCTCTTTCGCTTTCTAGAGTGAAAGTGATGTCTTATTCCCATTCTGAATCTGTCTAATGCTGAAATATTTGCAGTTCTGACTCTTTTCTCCATGCTGTGGCTTCTGAGTCTTGGATGGCCTTCTCGGAAAATACTTTTCTTCGTCAAATTATTGTTTGTTGATTTGTGGGGTGGCTGATTTACCGCCTCAGATACTTTCTTCAACTGTGCTGAAATATCTGATGAGGAGGTACCCATACTGCAAGCTGAGCTGCTGTCCTTCAACTTTCCCCTGTTCTTTGCTGGTTGGCTCCAGAAGATAGTTAATAATGAGTCTTTCACTTGAGCACCTTTCACCTTAGCACGTGCAGCAGCATGCTGTTGGAAAATTTCAAAATGGCAAAATCTTTCATGTAAAATCACAGGTAATATTTACATTATAAAAGATAAAACATTTCCGTCCAGTGTGACTGGTGAAGTTTTTCTTATTGTAATTCTTCAAGCCCTTACATGTTTCAGTCCTTAGAGACCACCATCATCTCTAAGGGCAGAAACATGTAAGGGCATGAAGAATTGAAATAAGAAGAACTTCACTAGTCACACTGGACGGAACTGTTTTATCTTTTATAATATTGTTAGTGTGATGGGCCAGAATGAAACAAATCAAAAATATTTACATTAAAGTAAAACTCAGGTACTTTTTACTCAACTTTTCTGAATAATGATCTTTTCTCAAACGTTCTTCTTCTCCTGAAGCTTTACAGTAAGAATCGTCCTATATAATACAAGTACATGACGCGTCCAGGATCCGTTAGGACTCATTTTTTTTATTTTGCCCTGCAATGCTATCTGTTGGTGAGTTGTGGCCTTAAGATTCTTGAAGTTTCAGCTGTGGCTGTCTATAATTTCAAAGCACAAGCATCGCTGCATCATGTTCTGACCTTGAATGTAACAGTACTGTTCTGACACTCATCAGAAAATGGCGGTTGAACAGAGAGCCAACATAAAATTTTGTTTGAAGTTAGGCAACACAGCCAGAGAAGCATATGAAATGAAGAAAAGTGTGTACTGTAGTGATTGTAGTCTCTCAAACATTTTCTCATGGTATGCTGTATTTCGTGACGGCAGGGAGGACACTGAAGATGCTCCACGTGCATCAAAGCCGAGAACAAGTCACACTGAACAAAATGTGAAAAAAGTGACTTAAATCCTTGCATCAGACAAATGTGTTTCTGCAAGACTCATCGAGGAGCTTTTGGGAATACCAAAAAGTACTGTGCATCAAATTTTGATGATTTGGGCAAACGGAAGGTCTGTGCGCAGTTGGTACCACACATGCTGTCAGGCAATGAAAAACATGCCAGAGTGCAACACTGCAAAGACATGTTACGGTCGGCACAAAGTGATATATAATTTACAAAATCAATTGTTACTGGCGACAAGACATGGTGTTTGCAATATGAGCCTCTCACAAAGCGGCAGAGTGCAGCGTGGTTGAGTCTAAAGAAGCCGAAACTAAAGAAAGTGTGCATGCAAGAGTCAAGTAAAGACAGTGCTAACCATTTCCTTCGTTTCCAAAGGAATCATTCACAGAGAATTTGTGGCAGAAGGTCAAACAGTGAATTCTGATTATTATCTCGGAGTCCTAAATTGTTTGTAGGTGGGAATTCTTCAAATTCGACCTGAATATTGAGAGCAAGGTCCCTGGTCGCTCCTCCACAATGTCTCACACCACAAATCAAAGATTGTGCGCGATTTTTTTTGGCCAGAAAAGGGATCACAGTCCTTGATCATCCTCCATATTCACCAGATTTGGCTCCAGCAGATTTCTGGTTGTTCTCAAAAGTTAGGTTGGCGATAAAAGGAGACCATCATGACAATATCCAGGACATCCATAGGGAATCTACCGCAGTTTTAAATGTGATTCCACAAAAGGAGTACAGTGGCTGTTTTTGAAAACTTTTCAATCGATTTATGTTTTGATTCAGAAGGAGACTATTTTGAATAAAAAGAGTGAAATTCTAATTCACATCTTGTATTTTTAATGAAAACAGTCCTAACAGAACCTGGGCACACTGTGTATATCTTTTTAAGAAATACAGTTTTTAAAGGAATTATTAATTTCTGTTTCATATCCTAAGCACCCGTAGGACATACGCCTGGTAGAATTTCTATACATTCATGACCTGCTTGCTATTTCCAAAACTTTGGTATTATTAAGGACAGGTAATAAAGTATAAGTCACAGATCTCAGATGGTTAAATTTATAATTTCACCAGGAAAGAAACACAGGTCAACAGCAAACAGATCAGTATATCAATGTTATAGATTATTTCTTAATAAATAAAGCCAGAGTCATTAAAACAATCTGACATTTCTAAATGCGAAATGAAACAGCTTAAGACGTAAATGTAGATCAAAGTAAAGAAATGCTGCTTCAAAATACAGTTAAAAGACTATCTCAAGAGAAAAAAGTGAAGAAACACTTTCATATACACATGATAATGCAAATTAGATAAACTGAATGAATGTGTGATGCCATGCTTCTTCCACCTCTAGTAAGTGCTCCTTTCTACAATCCATTTCTATGCTACAGAAAGAAGCTATATGATATTATGTGTCTATTAACTTTTCAAATGTCAGTCTGAATATGTATTCAAGAAAATTTATCCCAAGTGTGTCCTCACATGCTGCAGAGCAGTTATTTTATACCCTACACTATAAACTAGAAACAATACTGTATGTCTATACCAGGAATAATTTACTTCTACTGTTATATTAAGAAAAGATTTCTCTTCAAGCGGTGTGGTCAATTAGTTTCTGGACTGCCCACAATATCATCCTACTATAGTTAGGTCAAAACTCATGTGCCAGGTGGAGGCAGACTAACTATTCCGAGTCACTGCCACTGATTTCAATGTTGCAGCTGATATCACTAAAAAGCAAAACGTTGTGAAGTAAGGTTGTGTATTGTACTATCTGCAAATTTTATTTTATCATAGAGTAATAAATTTAAAAGAACAGTGCATGTGTATGCATGGAAATCATCAAACCCAGATAATGAACCAACAACTACACAAATCTAACCTTCAAGCATCTAAGGATAATGAAGATCAACCTATACCAACTGTAGTGAATGGTGTAATTATAATTATAATTAATATTAAAAAAAAACAGGTCAAAAGTATAATGAATCTACTGAAAACAGTAAAAAGGAAAAGGCATACAATGAATTGTTAGGTACTTTACAGTATTATTACAATATAGCTATGCCTAAATCTGGTAAAAACTAAACAGCATGAAAATAAATGGGTTACCTCAGAAATAAGGGTATCAGGGAATAGACTCAGTTTTCTTAATAGTCTAATGAAAGAAGGAAATATGCCAGAAGAATTTAAAGAATACTATTGTCATTACTAGGGCCCAGATTTCTATGACATGTCATATTTCTTTCCTAGGGTTTATTCCTATTTTAAAATGTAATTACATACGTTTCTAGTCATTCTCATTAAAATTATATCATTTTTATTGTGCATTTAAATGCATATTTTAGAGTTTTATAAGTTTTATATGGTTTTACAGCATAGTGTGACATGTTGCGCATAGGAGAACCCCCCCCC